AGCAGTAACCTCACCGGGGTGGCCCCTGGGGCCTTGGACCGCCACACAGTGAGCTCAGAAACCTCTGTTCTCTTTCTTTTTTTATTAGTTTGCTGTAGAGTGGATATGCTTGCTGGAGAGAGACAGAGAGAGAGAGAGAGAGAGAGAGAGAGAGAGAGAGAGAGAGAGAGAAATTACCTCCCAGAGGGGATGGCTATGTTGCAGTCCCTTCTCTTTCAGTCTTCTCTTGGGATTTTGAAGGTGCATGCTTTTCACACTGCTGGGTCTGGTACTTGAACCACACAGTCGACTATGTGGAATCCACCTGCTTTAACCCATGTACCACCTGCTAGCCCCAAACCTTTATTCTCTTAAATGACCCAGGGGCCAGCAGGTGTCATGGTGGTTGAGGCGCTGGACTCCTCCGTGGCCAACCACAGTTTGGGTCCCGTACCTGGCAGCTTGCTTTCTCACTCTCTCTCTGGTGTTATGTGCCCTATAGCAAATTTAAAAAGAAAGAAAAATAAAAAAATATTTTAAAAAAGTTTTAAATGAGCCAGACCCTATAGCAAATTTAAAAAGAAAGAAAAATAGAAAAAAAATTTTTTTTAAAGTTTTAAATGAGCCAGGTTTTGGGTGTTTTCTGTTATTATCAACAGGTAAGGGGTTATGTTGTTGTCCCCATGCTGAGGCCATGGGGTGACAGACAGAAATTTATTTAACATAAACAATAAAAAGCAAAGGAGCAGAAACTCAGCCTTGGAGTTTCATGTGGCCCTAGTTCCTGCCCAGCACACTCCCTGTAGGAACACACAGACCGACTTTCATGAGTGGCAAGTTCTTGTGGACACAGCTTTGGAGCCATCCCGCCCAGGTTGCAGTTGCCCTGAGCACGCTTGGTGGTTACCGTGGGGTATACACTGTATGGGTGAGTGCGCCCCCTGAGCTGTGGAGGAAGAGGAAGGACTGTCCTTCCCCTCAGGAGACGTGATCCATCACAGTTTCTATTGGTGGAGCAATCTTTTCTCCTCACTTCCACTTGTGAGTATTAGCTCACATTTTATGGGCCTGGGACACAGGATTTCTAGAAGAGAAAGCCTCTGGGAGGTGCAGTTATCTGCTGTCAGCAGTGACTGGGGGAGGGTGGTGTTACTTCTCTGTGTCTCAGTTTCCTCAGCAGGGCAGCAACGGAGTTAGGTAAACAGAATTTCAGATGTTCCCTTAGGTGCAGAGGAGGATTCTGAGGGGAGAAGTCCTGGCCCTTTTTGTAAATCCTTCCTGAGAATGGACCTGTGGTGTCATGGCTGGCTAGTCAGGACTCTGACCATGCTGGGGAAATGGGCAGGTTTGAGTTCATTCATTCATTCAGCCTGTCAGTCAACACCCCATAACTCAGCGACCCTTAGCACTTCAGAGAAACACTCAAATAAGGAAATAGGCTTTCCTTGAGCACTTCTACTTGCAGATTGTATAAATAGGTGTTTCCTTTTGCAGCATAAAAATCCTCTTCAGTTTGCTCACCTCCTGCAGTGTGTTCTCAGTACCTCCCATGTGCTGGCTCTGCTTGACTTTGCTCTCCTGGAAGGGCAGGCTTCGTCTGGTGCAGAACCACCTGACATCTGGCCCAGGGCCTAGCACACAGTAGGCTGTTGGCTGTGTGTAGCTTTGGTGCACAGAGCTGGCTGGAAAGTAGAGCAATGCATGGATGGAACACGGATACCTGGATCTAGGACTGAGATCTGCCCAGCGCCTCATACGGTTAGTGCTCCAGAGCCAGGCTGATCACTGTAAGCTCGCACCTTTAGGTGGGCTGCCTCTCGCTGCTCGCTGCCCTCTTCTCCTTGATCCCCTTATCAGTTTCCATCTCAGTTAGAGCTGTTTTGGCCACTGATTTTTATTACCCTTTGTTCACTGCCCAAGGGCTGCATGGAACTTGTTCCACTTTCCCCGGGCTCCAGAGGTTCAGCGGCTGACCTTGGGAAGCAGAAACCAAGAGAGGAGAGAGTGAGAGCCAGGGCTTGGCAAACCCCTGACCTGGGGATCTGGCTTAAGCCTTGGGCTTACCAGTGCTGCATCTGAGTCCATCTCACTTCTCCTTGGCTAGCCTGCCCACATTTCCGAGTTGTCCCTTAGCATATGGTTTATTCCAG